AAAGAAGCAGATCTTCAGCTGCACTGAAAGTTTACGGCCGGAGTTCGATTCCCGGCATGGGTATAGATAGATCTTTCTATCAGAGACTGTCCAGACTGGCCCTGAGAGTCTCCTATCGAATGGACAAAGTCGGTCGGAGCGTGAAGCTGACCTCCACCTTGTGCTGAGGCCCTGGGCATTGCGTGCAAGTGCAGTATTTCTCGCGAGACCCACCGGGGGATAACGTTGCTTTGCGTGTGGAAGGTACCGGCAGTGCAGTGACAGTACGAAAGACGCAATTAGGCCGACAACTAATATTTCCTTATGTCATTACAAGACAGCGTTTGAGCTCTGTTCCTAATTTGTAAGCGCCAGAACTTGACGGCTGATCCGGTGTAGCCTGACTTTATGCAGGGAAGGCCATGTAACGGTTCCCACGCCGTGCACGAGAAACTGGTCTACAAGCCGGGCCACTGGGGGAAGGCGAAACTGGTCAGACGTCATATGCACAGCCCTCGGGAAAATAAGAAATGGCGATGCGTCTGTAGGCTGTGTGGGACGAATAGCTATAGCGCATACAGCCGTTGCTATGCAATGACCGCGAGACGAATAAAGAACGGTGTCATGCAACCCGCTTCTGGAAAACGGATCGGTAAACACGTTCCCGCTCCAAAGAATGTGTACCAAACAATGAGGTTACTGCTGAAAATTGTGTTTTCTACTTTGTCCGTGCAAAGGGGATATAAGGAAGACAATTGGGAGGACCCAGTTAGTTGAGAGTTGAGTTATATAAGGAAGGCTATGGTTCAGCTGGCAGTTCAGTGGTGGATTAGTTAGCGGGCAGCGACGCGAGAACATAAGCTGAAGAACCTGCATTGTTAAGGTCCGTCACCAGGAAACGAGATTAGTGAAAGCAAACTGAGAAGACTTGTCATGTGCTCTAGTGATTTGTAAAGTGTGTAGATATGCATTTCCCAATCCAAACCCCGTCTATAGTCACACACATAAATCGTGACAGTATTATATGTCTGGGGAGACCAATAAGAGAACGTGATCTCATAACAAAGGTCTTGGCGTTTTAATAACAAATGGTGAAAATAGGCGAACAGAGGAACCGCCACTGAGAGGGTTAATAATCATAATGATACCAGGCGAAGATCACAAATGACTTCCCCCCCCCCCAATCGATGTCACGCTTCCTGTGTTTAGGGAGAGAATGCGCTTAAACGTCTATTGAGGACATAAATGAGAGGCCGTCGCTGTGGCGAGTTTTCTGGGATGTGATGCCGTGTAGTTTGGTACATGGGTGCCGAACTATCATGAGTCGCATGACCGTGATTTTACTGTATCGCTTAAGGCTGTGCTGTAACTCCGGGTTCGATCCCATGTCAGGTCATGTGGGATTTGTGGCGGACAAAGTAACACCGGGACATGTGTTTTCCCGAGTACTTCGGTTTCCCCTCCCAATTCTCATTCCACCGACTGCTCCACACTCATCATTATCATCCGGGGCTGGTACAGTAGGTCATTTAGTGGCCACGTACCAAGTGGACTCAGACCCACCCCCACCCCACGTAATAAAAATAAAAATGAACGCTGTATCGCGTGAAGTGGGAACGCTGCCTAATGGAGCGTGTGGTACCAGCCCTGTCTGTGCTCGACTGCGTGTGGCTTCAGGCGGTCCTCACGCGCGCGTGTCCTTGCTTCACATTCTGCCAAGGTTTCTGATTTGAGTTCCAGAGCTTGCATCTGCACCGTCATCTTTCGTCACATCTCGCGTGCACGCAACAGTGAGCTGCGTTCACTCCAAGTCGCGCGCCGTCGAGACTGCGTGAACTGTCATGACGTCGTTCTCATGTTGCGTCACCACTTCTGAAGAGCCAGGACAGACGCTGTACTAAACTGTGGCCTTCTTTAACGTCCAGTGGGGAGTGGGTCTGAGCCGTCCTTCCTTCCGAGACTTTAACCGCAGCCCCGAGTTTGTCTCCTGTTCATCCGATGTAGGCCGAGTAGAAATCAAGCAACAGACAGGACTGTGCGCCCAGTACAGATAAGACACTGAAACGAACAGGCCTGTGTCCTGAATTCTTTAATTTTAAGGCACAGTAACTAGAGGGTACAGGTAGCAACGAAACATGTAAGAACTGCGAACCCTGTGCCGTTACCACTACCGCACAGGATCATGTCCACGACCTTTAAGAGAAATGCGAACTCCTCTGTGTGCATGAGTGCTCAGAAATGGGTGAAAGTTGCGGTTACGTGTTGCAAGCCTAATGGCGGCAGTGCCTGAGGAAAACATTAAGAACGTACGTAACAAGGTGGCAGACCTGGGCCCCGTATAATAAGCACATGCGGCAGTCGTGAGGAAAATAAGGCGTGCAACTTTTTGGTCTTAAGAGCTCAAGGACGGAGCCGACTCCGTGGGCAGGGCAGAGTTCAGTGGCCAGCTCGTGTGAGCACGGTAATGTACGTACTTTCGGGGGCCATAAAAAGGAGTGGAATTTCTTGAGTAGTTAAGCAACTGTTAGGTTGCTGAGCATGATTTTGTTCGGTGGAGTTAATTGCTGAAAGGCCGGACCTGAGAAGCCGACCGGTCACCTGTCTGTAGTGTCGAGGTTAAGAATGACTTCCTCCGTGACAGGGCCAACTTACCTGTATATACAGTATTCAGCGATCCGTGGCGACGCTGAGAGGCGTTCCAGTTGCTCGGAACTCGTGGCGCAGGTGCACGAAAGGCTGAAGTCAGTTTTGTCGCTTTGGTCATGTGCGGTTGCTTATGGCGAAGTTTTGGGAAAGAAAGAAAGAAGCTGAATTAGAGAGGGGCCCTAGTTCGATGTCAGGTCACAGTCTGTGTGAGTGTTCCTGTAGCAGTGGAACTCTCTGCAGACGAGTGCAGTAATAGGAACCCTCACTTGCTGGCCCCGCCCCCATATTGGGACCCTGCACTCTCTCGGGCTGCGCCAGGAGGGCCAGGGCCCTCCGTTATTTAACGGCGCTTTTCAACTGCGTTGTTTATATACAACGTAAAGTGGCTGGATGATTGTGAACTGAAAAGGATTTTTCGAGGAAATGGAAAAGTGTGTCATTATGACATTTCCGAGCTGAGATTCGAACCACTGACCTGCTGAGTACGAAGTATATCTCGTCTATGACATTCGAATTGAGGAAACATGAACGTTATACAAAATTCGGGTTGGGAAATTCCCCGAAAGCCTGTTGCTTTTAAGCCAGGAGATAATATTAAAACTGACCTCAGCTAAACAGTGTGTAGATTGGATTGAAAGATCTTAGAATCTTGGAAATATCGTGACAGTCAATTTGTTACTTGCCAGACGGTGGGAGAGAGAGTTGGGCCGGTACTGTCCTGCGTGCACCGACGTTTAGGCAGACTAATGACCCCCGTAACCCCTCTCACTAATAATAGTCACCGAGCAGTGGACACCCTCCGTCTTGGCGTTAAGTGTGTTAATGCTCATGTAGGGCAGAGTCCGTCACAGCCGAGTGGTTTAGTAACACGGCGTGTAACGCGGTTGCACAACTCCTGTGCTGTGTTAGCAATGCGGTGTCGTGTCGCCCTGTGAGAACCATACGGAACCCGTACATACAGAGTGTGGGCAGAATGCAGAGCTTCTTGACGTCATAGCAGTTCTATAGGCCCAGACATAATTGTGGTTTCGGAGCCTGTCACGTGGTCATAGCGCAGTCCAATCACACATCGACTGCTACGTAGTTTTCCCATTTGTTGGATGTTTGGAAGTTACGAGATTAAGACGAAACGTCTGCAATAAGGGCACCTGGCATTCCTTCCCATAATAATGAACCCCTTCTTGCATTTCAAGCGCAGGAAACAACACGACGCAACTTGTACACTTACGCCTGCTAATTTGTAAATATTGCTACATTAATAGTACGTAGGCGGGTAAAGTGGCCAGAGCGTGAAGCCCGTCTCTCTCACTTCCCATGCCTGTGACTTTCATTGCGTTGTTTACGCTGCTATGGACGGACTGACAGTGCATACTTTATGTCGCTCCTGCCGTCGGCATGTTTCATCTTGTAGCAGTTTTATATTAAATTCCGTCTGCACCGTAAAGTTTGAATTTGCACGAAGTGTATCTTGATGTAGAATAGTTCGCTGTAACTTGTGACACTCTTGCAGCCTAGAGACAGTGATACACGGCTTCCCGTCATGGAGGAATGTACATTTCAGTATGTGTTTAAGTTTAACAAAATACAAGACAGATGCTATGGGTTGCTGCGCGTTGCGATGTGTGCGCGTATTGTCAGCAGATGAAGAGTGCAGAGTTACCCCGCCTCCAAATTCGCACAGCAGACGCTGGGATGCCCTGGGTTCACGCAATCCGTGTTTGGTTTTTCTTGCATATGGTCTGCCCAAACACGAACTGTGTCAGCTGAGCCCCTGTTACGTACAAATAAATCGGTGCAGTTCATAGTTGTCGCACTCAGCCGGAACACTGTTGCGTTATCGCTGTTTCTGACACGCAACACACCGCGTCGTTTGCAGCCGGTCTAAAGGCGCATCCACATTACTCGTGCTCATGCTCGTGCTCTCCAGGCTTGTGCTCGTCGGGAGACTCGTCTGGATTTTACTTGTGTTCATAAATCTTCGTCCACACTACTTCAGTTGCTCGCCAGGCTTCGGCGCGTGAGGATCCGCATATTTACTCGTAGTGTGTATAGGCTGTAGTCGTATTTTAATTTATTGGCTATAGTTTTTAAATTAAAAATTTAAAATTTACTTGTCTCGTGACTTGTCATATCGTCCACATTACTCGCGAGCACAGCGAGTCACAGGAGCACGAGCACGAGTAATGTGGACGCGCCTAGCAGATAGAGAGAGTGCGAAGATGGCTCTAACACGGCTAATCGTGTCCTGTGACGTCATATAATCATGTAAGTGAATACCAACCTTTTGGAGGAAAATATTGCCTCCATCTTCAGGGTAGAATGGACGTTTCTAAAGGTTATTGCACCATTATCCTGATGACGGCTGTTTGTTTCAGCGCGACAGTACAGCTACACGGAGAAACAGCGATACGACGGATGGTTCAACAATCTCGCTCACCCGGACTGGGGCTCGGTAGGTGAGTAAACGAGGTTTGCACGCTTTATCTGGCAGTGGCAGACCGCCCTTTGCTTGTGCGGTTGTGTCCTTGCGGGAGGAGGACTGTGTGACTTGAAGCAGGTGTTGTACAGGCAGATTTCATCACGTGGTATGAACCGTAACATCATGATTACTCAATGTGAACCCAATTTCTTCTCACTCACAACTTAACTCGACCACTCCCTTTTATGTTACGTAGCCGGACTTTCAGGCCTGTCGAAGGCAACAGATTCTGTAGACAGGTACAAATGATTTGGACCACTTATCTCTCAGGTGTGGGAGGGCAGGTGAACTGGGCTAAGGACACTGTGACCATATCACATGTGCCACTTTTTATCTCTACTTTCGTCCATTGATTGCTTGTGGTTTCACGTATAATCAGCCTAATTATCATTATGCCATTTGTTCTTCACTGCAGTTCTCATAATGCATGTCTCCTGTCAACAGTAAATCGATGTCGTGTTTCAGCCGTTTCAGAAACAGATGCAGAACCGGAAAGGGGGGGGGCTGTCGTGGTTCCTTCCAGTGGCAATGTTTATAGCTCTGGCGTGAGTGTACGATCAAAGGCGCCCCCAGGACCGGCCCTGAAGAGGCTCATGAATGACGATCAGTTACTGCCGTTTCGATGTATTGGCATGCAGAGAGACCAAGCAACCCGAAACGTCGCAAAAACAAGTCTAGATCGTCCGAGAGTTTCGCGTTTCGTCTTCGGGTTCGCGAGATCCCGATTTCGAATATTGTTCTGGAGAGCCACTCAGCTGATTGAAAACTTTATGGTTTTCCTCTGTACCTGTAAGTATTGCAGGTCGCATCCTTCCTGATACCTTCCGATTCATAACGCACAGAAATCGTCTTACCGTTCGGCGCTAGTGCAGAAGAGCGAACCAGTAAGCTGTCCCCTTCTGCATAACATTTGTCCTCTGATGAGTTCCAGTCTCTAGTTAACCTGTTGAGGCACCTGACTGAGGCTTTTGTCCGCCTACTCGGTTCATGTTCCTTGTGATTCTCGCAACAGAACGAGCATTAACCGGTTATTCGTTGTTATGGAGACGGAGTGTTTCCTGTGAGGTACGGACTGAATATATAAACATTACAGAAATGGCATTCCCTTTTGCTCCCATTTTCTCCTTCTGCAACCTTGAAAGGGCTAATTCCACATGACGTGCTTATGATGCGAGTCATTGTGTCCATTACAACCAGTTCATAACACCATTCCTTGTAATTACATTTATAATTACTGCTAAAAGTTGCATTGTGCTGGACATGACTTATGGAACCAGTTCCGACGGGGGAGGGGGCCGAGGGGCCTTGTACAACAGGGCTGCTAACCTGGCAGGAAGTTGTCTCTCTTCATGAAACGCGAAAATACACCCCAAGTTTCTTCAATCCCATCTCAGTCTTCAGAACAATTTTACAAGTTCCACTCTAGTGCTGACCTCCCGTCTATTGCTCGTTCCAATTAGCCTCTTCCTCCACGTTGCCGACAACATTTTATAGTCGTTTTCGTTCCCCGTTCGTGATATATCTGTCGAGTGTGACCCTCCTTGGTCTGATCACATTCTCCACTCTTCCGTTGCTTTGTGATGCAGACACCTACGGAGTTTACTTGGTCGGAATGATTTCAGTACTTTTGGAGATGAAATTCTAGACAGAGGCAGCCTCCCCATTAAGCATTCATTTTATCCAGGTCAGATTATGGGTGCATAAAAATTAGCGTGTGTAGGAAACAAATCTGCGAGTGGCATAAGATGGCTATGACTCGAAGGAGCATGTTAACAAACATGTAGATAACCATAACGGTTACGTTAGAGACAAACGTGGGCCTTGCGTGAGAATATTTTGAGCTCAGCTACATTATTGGTAATCTGTGCCCCAGTTACGTGTCGCATTGCAACAAGACTACCGCGCTTGCGTGGTGAGTTATTTCAAGTGACATGAACACACTTATAATCGCAATAAAACATGATCTTGTACGTTGGTAGGCATGATAAGTGCTTTCGTCTGTATTAGCAATGTTGTGCCTCTGCAGAATAATTAAAACTTAAGTTCGTACGTCACAGGAAACACTCCGTCTCCATAGCAACGACCATGGTTAGGGAAATAATCGCTGTTTATCGTGAGAGCCACACAAAAACACGGGGAAAATACAGAGATTTGAAATATGAACGCGGGTGGTATGTATCGGTACCATTGCCCTTCGAATGATTCGAATTGCAAATCCGAAGAGCGCACGTGTCTGCTCCGGTATGATGCTTTGGGCTCTAAACGTCGGCATCAGGCGGTTGCTGCTTGCGTGGGAAACTGTTCATAAGAGGCGGCCACTGTGGGCCGTAGGAGCCACTCACAATGTTATCCCTTCATGTAGGCCTAGGCCCCGGAAATGGCCCCCTCGTTCAGGTTTTCCAAGTAAAATGTGTCCTTGTATGTTCTACCCACATGTACCTATCGCCTTGATCTGTTAAGGCGCGTCCACACTGCTCGTGCTCGTGCTCGTCGGGAGACTCGTCTGGTTTTTACTTGTGCTCTGTAGTCGTATTTTAATTTATTGACTATAGTTTTTAAATTAAAAATTTAGAATTTTCGTGTCTCGTGACTTGTCATATCGTCCACATTACTCGCGAGCATAGCGAGTCACACGAGCACGAGTAATGTGGACGCGACTTTATAATGATGTCTAATGAGGAGCTTCGGAACCATTGTGGGCATGTAGCACGCATAGGTGGGTACCAAACCTTGCATGATGATATCGCAAGTGAGGATGTCTCGTGGGATATTCAGATGGACGTTTCAGGAGAAAGTTGTAAAGTTATGAAATGGAGTAAGATGGTTCAGAATGGGGGGTGTGAGCATTGTGAAGAACTTTCGAGTTCGGCAGGAGGGACCGGCCGTGCCTGCTGTGAGAGCGAACTATAGCGCATTGCGACATCTCTGCATCAAGATATCAATGAAGGCATAAGAAGGGAAGGCGGTCCCGTGTAAATAGCACAGACCACATCAGTGCAATTAGTGCCTTATGCAGCACCGTGTAATTAGAAAGATAATTATGACCGTTATCAGACAGGAATGAGCCAATCAAGGGAGAAGGGAGTCTACACATGCAGTGGTGTTGTGACGTTCAAACTTTTGTATTTGTTGCACGTTTCGTATTTTGCATCATTCATTTATCTAAGGTGGAGTCGGTATAGGGACAGGCTACGGGCTGGACGGCCACGGTTCGATTCCCGCCAAAAGCAAGATTTTTCTCTACTCCACAGCGTCCAGACCGGGTCTGGGGTCCACCCAGCCTCCTGTCCAATGCGTACCGGGGTCGGTTTCTTCCTAGGTAACGCGGCCGGGGCGTGAAGCTGACCACGCACCTCCATCTAGTACGGGTCAAGAATGGTGGAGCTATGCCTCCACTCCTACATATGTCTTCATGGCAAGATGCTTAATCAATCAATCAATCAATCACAGAGACACTTTTGCCTTTTAACGTATGTAAGGTTACCTGAAATCTGTGCAGGTGTCATGTGATATAGCTTTGCAGTTCAGAATGGCCTGAAATAAAGGAGAGGCTTATCGCCGTTACTTTTCAACTGTACGTTAAAGCAAAATATCGTGGCTGATGTTCACCATCGCAGTGGGCCTCCTTACGTTGTCATTATGTGGGAAAGTTTAAAGTATACAAGGCTCTGGGTAGTTCTGGCTGTTTGAACAGGTGCTAAGGCGAGAGGGAGTGGCGAGAGTCCCATAATTCCTTCATCAAATATTGTGAGAATTATTAAATTAAGGTGGGTAAGATGGGCGGGGCATGTGGCACGGATGGGAGATAAAAAATACACAAAGAGTTTTGTTCGAAAATCTGAATGGAAGAGAGCACTTGGAAGTCCCAGATGTAGATGGGAGGGTGCTACTGAAATAGATTTTAAAAAATGGTGTGGTAGATAATGAATCTACTTAATTTGGGGTCAGAATAGGAGCCAGTGGCGGGCTGTGATGAACATCCAGAATACGCTTTGCCTTTGTTGTATTGCATTTTGTGGCACAGGTTAGGCTGGTGACGTAACAGCGTGGAAGGTGCTGTTGCAAGATTGACATGCAGACTTGAAGATGGAGAGCACTGTCCCTAGGCTCTGACAGCATGTACTCCGGTAGAGTTTCACACACGTTTTACTGCCTCCATCTTCAGGTTGGAAGAGTAAGAAGGCAGTGAGCCCATAGGCTGTGTCACATTAATGATGTTGCGTAATGACAAGAGCGGCCAGAACCTTGCGCAGGAGCTGCTTTCCGTTGGTTCCGGTTCTGCTGTTTTTCCCTTGCGCATGGCTCCACGGCAGTGGCGGTGTCTGCATAGCGCGGAAGTGTAGATGAGTCATTCGTGCAGCGTAATCCCATACACACGGTCGGTAGGACTCCTTGGACGGGGGATCAGCCCGGCGCAAGGCTGCTACCTACACGCAGGACAGCACACGCAGAATAAACGCAGACATCCATGCCACGAATGGGATTCGAACCCAGAGTGTTCGAGCGGGCGAAGACGGTTCATATCTGAGACCGGACGGCCACTGTAATCGGCAAATGTTGTTCATGATGAATGAATAAAATTAAACGAATTTGGAAGGAGTCGGTAATCGGAGCACTATGGCGGAAAGGACCGAGGAAAACCACAAGAAAACTTAGAATAGCCGGTGATCAGGTTGAAATCCGAACCGAGTATATCCCAAATACGAGACAAGAGCGTGGATGCTATGTGGCGGAGGGGGGCAGTCACCCGTCTGTATTTCAGTACTGATCGCAATAGGCCTTGGCTTTGAAGGAGGACTGTAGGTGCAAGTAGATGCTGTAGTATTCTCTACGTGAGCAGTGAATGTCTCTCACTAGATGCTGTAGTATTCTCTACGTGAGCAGTCAGTGTCTCTCACTAGATGCTGTAGTATTCTCTACGCGAGCAGTGAATGTCTCTCATCCTGATTGCAGCAAGTCAAAGGGGAGAAAGTACAG